ATATAGTTTAATGTCCCCTTACATATGCAGAAGATATAGATCTATAGTTTAATGTCCCCTTACATATGCAGAAGATATATAGTTTAATGTCCCCTTACATATGCAGAAGATATATGGTTTAATTTCCCTTACATATGCAGAAGATATATGAATATGGTTTAATTTCCCTTTAAATACATATGCAGAATATATATGAATATGGTTTAATTTCCCTTACATATGCAGAAGATATATGGTTTAATTTTTCTTACATATGCAGAAGATATATGGCCTAATGTTCAGGCTTATCTAAAAGATATGAGCATTTAAACCAAACAATGTACATGTGAGGTAAAATTCAAACAGGAGAGATCAGTCAAATGCTTTTCGTCACTGACCTTATTGTCTTTACCTTGTGTGAGTACATGGAAAAAACGAATCCGGCAAAAAGAAGGGACCTTTATATGTTGCTTTATCACAATTAGCTATTACATGTATAATGTGAAGACTTTCGTGGAATTATTTTTAATTGGCATGATCTTTTTTATAGTATAACGAACATATAATTAACTCATGACAATACATCCATATATATTAACAAAACAGCACATATAATATTTTTTCACAGTTTATGGTATATAACTATATATCTATGGAGATTTTAAAGTTTTGTTCTAACGTAGGCTTTCTTTGCACGAACTGATATTCATCCGTTAACTGTACATTTTTCTTTTATACATATTTTTTTCTGTTGAAATAGCTTAGAACACCTTAAAATTTTTTTATTTGATTAACAATTATTAAGTTCATATTACGGCTTCGCGATTTATCTATACCAAGTGCAAGCGTATCTTAACCTGTGGGTCTATACTTGTAATAATCGGCTGAATGACCATGTTATATCCCACCCCCTCCCAACCCCCCGCCCCCCCCCCCCCCAAAAAAAGAAGAAAAAAGGAATATGTAAACTTTTAAAATGATGCAAGAAATATTGATTTCTAATAAAATAATATTAACATTAATAATCATTGCGTTAAATATATTACACCCAAAAATATTTGCTCTGTATCATTTTTTAATGTCGTGCGCCTAATATCAAAACATGCTGTTTTTACATTTTGTGTACCCCGGGGCTGTATTATTAATTAGTGTAACCATAAAGTCAACTGATGACGGCAACATTTGTAACTTACATATAGATAAATTATAACAATACACATGTATAAAAAAGATTAATATCCCAATCAATAGCAACGTGATGTCATGTAGCCGGCTTTTGATGCTGTATCTACCGATCAAACAATATACGTGAAGCCGCGAGGATGTGACAGATTTAGCTAAAATTACGGATAGGACGGAGTCAGATATCATTGGACGGCATTATAGCCGGGTTATTCGCGGCAAAAAGAAAGGTCCTACATTACCAGTTTAGTAGAGGATGAACGTATTTGGACAGAATGGTAAAAAAGGAATTACAAAAACAAAGTAGTTTTATTGGTATTTAGTTAGATGGGATCGCAAAGGAGTGCATGTTGGGAAAAAAGTAAAAATAGGACTAAATCGCAGAAGGACTACCGTCATGGAAGTAGAGGATATTCATCATTCAATTTTGAAAAAAAAAAAAAAAAGAAGGTTTTGCAGTAATCAATATTTGGGAAAATGAGTTTTTATGACAGCGAGACAAAATTATTTCTTTCAAAAACAGTTTTGAATTCTTTCATAGATTGTATGTCTAATGATTATATTTGCATCGCATGCAAGTGACAATTTATTATATATCTCCACTACGGTGCCAAAAAATGATGAAAAATAATTAAGAAGAGCCGACGTGTCATGAAACGAGAATTATTCTGGCAGATTTCACATGGACTCGCACTTTCCTGAATAAGCTACATATACGAAAAGCCGGTTTATAAATTAAGCTGTTGGCGAACGGAAAAGGGCCTTTTTAAAGGCATACGTGCATTTTCCTACGCGTCCTTGAAAAGATGTATACACCTGATAAGTCTATGATTGGCAGGGCTGATGTCTTTGTTGTGACCGTTGTAATGGGTATATAATATTTCCAGTACTCATTATAACGTACACAAATGTTGACACAGTCGTTAACAACGAGAAACCATGCATGGACATACGGAAATGAAAACGGAAACAAATTTTTTTACGGAATAAATATTTTTTCACGGACGGAGCCAAGAAAAGTTAATTGTTGTTGAAATATAAACATATTTAGTATTTAACTGACGTCTCAAAAGGATCTTCGAGGCGAAATTCAAAGCGCACCCATTTTAATGTTTTTGAAAGTTATCTTTTTAGTTCACCACTGGAACTGGATCGAACTTATCAGCGGAAGTTATCACACATCTGAGTTGAAGGTATTGTGAAAATGATCTGTTCTAAGTAGTGATGCCGCGGGTACTATTAGAAACTGTTACCCATGGTAACGCTGCTTACTGCGGTCATGTTTTTATGGCAACAGACCGAGGTCAAGACGGCAAAGGAATTTTTGAAAGTTGACTCTGTGGAGGATATTCAACAATGTGATGAACTCTTCAGTGAAATGGAACACTTTAACACATTTTTATTTTCATTTCAATCTAATTCTGATCTTCATTTTCATCTTATTCATTTTATTCTTTAATAATTAATGTTCTTTTATAATTTTCAGAAATGACGGCAAAAGCATGTGAAGATAGTGTCGTCGGTACACATTTCCTCCAATACCGCATTTTTTTTTAATTTTTATTTATTTTATTTTTGTTTGTTTATTTTTTAAGTAAAATATTTACTCATTTCATCAAAAGCGGTATTTTTCCATAAATATTAAGGGACCGATTTAAAAAACGTTTTAGAAAGCAAAATATAAGTTTCTTGTTTCATTTCTTTTTATAAATTTTATGTTCTGTAAATGATTTATATTAGTAGTAAATCATTATATATTTATATCCTATATCGTAACTTGTTTTTTGACAAGAAACAGTAATATAAGATTTGTATATAGGAAAATTAATTAATAAACAACTTCATTTGGACAGAGCATTCATTTGTTTTCTACGAAACGCCTATAATGTTTTATAAATATATAAAGAATAACTCCTACGTAGGAGATAAAAAAAAAGCCTAAATGGGAATTTATCATTCCTACGTAAGCGGTTATAAAATCCTAATAAGGAATTTGTAACTCCAACGTGGGAGAAAGACAACCCTTATTAGGAGTTTAGGACTAGTGCGTTTAAATCCTTATTTAAATTATGCACTCAAGAATGATGGCTTTCTATATCAACATTTTATTTCGATGCTCATTTTAGACAATAGTTTTATCAAATATTGTTACTTTTTATTTCATGCCTATGCTACTTGATAAATAAGTAAATGTTTTTGCTTTTCATGTCTGTTACATGTTAGTAAACATGTTTTATGTCTCTGTTATTGTTGGTAAATAGCTTATTATCTAATGTTTCTTGTAATTTGAAAACCGACTTAGAATAATAAATAAAGTTTCTTGTATCTAAATATACATAAAAAAGACATCTGTTTGTAGTGACTGGATAAATTGGCCGTATACATATGTGTTCAAAACCCGTCATGGGCAAGTCTTTGTTTCCATGAACAAGAATTTTTACACTCATTTCTTAGGACTGGTTGGTTCGAGGAACGGTGAGTGTTTCAATAAGCTTGATTTCAGCATCCAACATGATCAAACTAAAATTAATTTGTATTTATAACTAAAAACCAACAGAAGTCTCCCACACAACAACAACAATAGAAAAGTGAAAGTTGTTAGAACAATAATTACCAATCCATCATCATGATTACAATGTCGAAATAATATCATAATAACATGTCGCACGTCACACATGTTCATAATGTTATCAAATGCTTGTCAAAACGTGGCTTGGCATGCTTGCACGAGACTCGTGCCACACGTGTTGCCACGTCCACAACAGTAACTACAGACTAGGGGCCGCTGCATTCTGTTCAACAAAACAAAATAACAGAAGAAATACCCACTAGGCACGGTATAGTAAACCGTTCGTCCACCCGTTAGTCAGTTAATCGATCTTCGATAATTATCTTCGATAATTCGAAAAGCGTATGCATTACGATACGAAAGGCGCGGATACTTAGCATACAGTAATAACGCAGTTACTCCCCTTTTTATCCACTGGGCGTAATTTGTTGACGTTTATGAAACTTAACAAAGTTGGTATGTTTTACATTTTATTTAACCATCAGGAGTATGTCATACTGTTTTTTCATTGTAATATCAATTAAGTCATTTTATAGGACACGTTTAATCATGAATGTTGGCGGAAAAATTATTTTTTATTTATTTAAAATCAGTTGTAAACAGGTAAACTATTGTAAGCCTACATGTGTGAGAAGTGGCATACATGTACAGTATGTCATAATCAGATTATGATGATTATGTTTAAGCAGTTTAATAATTTACAAAGTAACTACACTATTTGTTGATTTGAGCATGTCACTGATTTTCTAGTGAATTCCAAGCACTTTATTGTATCACGGATTTATATTACATGTAATATAAATCCGTGATTGTATATTTCCACAACAGTGCTATTCGTCAAGAACTAGACAGCTACTATTTCAATAGCTATAGATTCAGAGATTAATATATTTATTTTTTGAGTCATCAACTATAACAAGATTTACATGTATATGTCTTTTATTACCATTGAAGTGATGTTGAATTCATTATATCTCTGTATGTAATGCTTGTCAGAACATTAACAAAAGAACAATGCTGGTAACATACGAACTTATCAGTGAAATAATCAAATCCTTTGCAAAGTAAAATCAATTGTGTACCTATTGTACAGTGAAACAAAACTTCTTTTTGTGTTTAAGACAAAAGACTTTCATTCATTGGTATTTCTACAACATATGGTAATATATAATAATATAGGAAAGATTATACTTTAAGTAAAGATCATATTAAAAGTTATTGATCTTTAAGCAGAATTGAATAATCTTTAAAGTTCTCTTAAACTAGAGACTTTTTATGTAATTTAAACACCTTGCTAAAACGTATTGCTTAATGTTCACTTCTAGTATTATCCAGGGATTCTTTTACTGCTTTATTTTATTTCCAACATTTAATAATTGAAATTATACATTTACATTGGACTTTTTTCAGCAGAAAAGGTGAACTTTAACTTTTAATAATTTTTTTTCTTGCTTTTAATCAATTTTAGTAACTTTAATAAATAATTTGATACAATGATTCCAATGTTAACTCTACATTGTTTACCTTAATGCATTAAGTTTCTGTCACAGGAGCCAAGTGGTTTATATGAAGGAGACAACAATTTATCACAACTGTAAAATTGTAAAATCCCACTTAGTAATAAGGTGTGTTAAATTGTTTTAACCTTTTACCCCATGAGCATATTGCGAAAAATGGCCGTTTTCATTGAAAAGCCTCCTGTAACAACTATGAAAAATGCTTCAATACTGATAAAACTTGGCACAAATGATGACTGCACCATAGCCTCTGTAAAAGCATGTTCAATCTTAAATTTCCTGTTACCATGGCAACGGGGGAATGTCTCAAAATTGCCAAAAATCACTATTTTGCATTGTTTTTTTCCATCAAAACTGATTTCAAAGTGCTGCAACTTCTCAATGAATTGAGATAGAGTAAAAGCGTTGGTTACTAGTACCCCTAAGATCAACCTGAGGCCATTTTTAGCCTGTCACATGTCCAAAATTTTCTTGGAGATGAGGGGGACAACCCCCCAAACAGAAGGGGGCACATCCCCCTTCTGGCAATCCCCTGATGTAACATTTGGATGGGGGACTGGGCCGAAGAAGTGATAACTTTTTTTAACAACATTTCTCAAACGAAAAACCAGTGTTTGGGGCCTAAATAAGGCATTTTTTCACTGTTTGAGGCCTCAAAAAAGGGGGGTGCAAAAAGCCGTCGAAACACGCTTATATAAGGGAAAAGGTTAAGGAAGAAAAAAGACTAGGCCAGCTGGTCAATGGTGTGATGATAATCTGTGTGTTTTTAAACGTTTTCTAATAGAGGGATATTCAATGTTGATATCAATTAATATGCATTTGGTTTAAACATATTTATTTTTAATCAAGTTACAATACAACTACAACATACAGAACTTTTATACAATATCATGACATGATAAAGTGGATTGAACTGAAAGCTAATAGTTTATTGTAATTCTCTCCACTTATATAATATAGCCAAACATTGGTACAGATTTTGGTGACTTGCTTTTAAGAACTGGTGTATCTTTGCCTGTCTGGTTAGGGTCAACGGTTGAATACTCAAATTTTGCATATAGAAGTTTAATACAGAATTGAATAATGCTATTTTATTTTGTATTTTTAGAAAAATAAAACAACAAAACTACAATGCCTTTGAAGGGAGTTCCTAACATCTTGTCACCAGACTTGCTTTACGTCCTTGCATCAATGGGTCATGGAGATGAAATAAGTATGTATCTATTTTTATATGCCCGAAAGAATTTCGGACATATTATGTTATACCCCCTGGCGTCCGTCTGTACTTCCGTCCGTCCATCCGTTAGCAATTTGGTTTCCGGAGCATAACTTAAGTTCCATTTGGCCCACAGTATTCAAACTTCATAGGATGATTACCCATATTGGATAGAAGACCCCTATTGATTTTGGGGTCACAAGGTCAAAGGTCAAGGTCACTATAACCGTAAAACTGAAAATGGTTTCCGGAGCATAACTAAGTTCCATTTGGCCCACAGTTTTCAAACTTCATAGGATGATTGCCCTTATTGGGTAGAAGACCCCTATTGATTTTGAGGTCACAAGGTCAAAGGTCAAGGTCACTATTACCGTAAAACTGAAAATGGTTTCCGGAGCATAACTTAAGTTCCATTTGGCCCACAGTTTTCAAACTTGAAAGGATGATTGCCCATATTGGGTAGAAGACCCCTTTTGATTTTGGGGTCACAAGGTCAAAGGTCAAAGTCACTATTACCGTAAAACTGAAAATGGTTTTTGGAGCATAACTTAAGTTCCATTTGGCCAACAGTTTTCAAACTTCATAGGATGATTGTCTATATTGGGTAGAAAACCTTTATTGATTTTGGGGTCACAAGGTCAAAGGTCAAGTCATTATAAGCTAAATACTGTAAATGGTTTCTGGAGCATAACTTAAGTTCCATTTGGCCCACTGTATTCAATCTTCATAGGATGATTGTCCATATTAGGTAGAAAACCCTTATTGATTTTGGGGTCACAAGGTCAAAGGTCAAGGTTACTATTAGCTCAATAGTGAAAATGGTTTCCGGAGCATTACTTAAGTTCCATTTGGCTCACAGTTTTCAAATTTTATAGGATGATTGTCCATATTGGGTAGATTTAGACCCCTTTTGATTTTGGGGTCACAAAGTCAAAGGTCAAGGTCACTATTACCCTAAAACTGAAAATGGTTTCCGGAGCATAACTTAAGTTCCATTTGGTCCACAGTATTCAAACTTCATAGGATGATTGTCCATATTGGGTAGAAGACTCCTATTGATTTTGGGGTCACAAGGTCAAATATCAAGTTTACTAACACCTTTAAACTGGAAACAGTTTTCACTCAATAATTCAAGCATTAATCAACCTACAGCTAAAGTACTTTCGGGCATATAATGCCCCGCCTAGCGGTGCTCTTGTTATTATTTGGTATGGTTAAGGCAGTCAGATAGAAAAACACATCCCTTCTTGTTTTTGGCATCCCCTTGTTATTTTGGCACCAAATAAAGTCAACAAGCAGTGGTTGGACAGATAATAGAAGACAAAGAAAACAAATTATTTTTCACCTATCTCCCCAATACCGTAAGCATGTTGAAGCCTTGGATGCTGGTGCATTTTTTTTTTCAATTAACAAAAGTATAGTATTGTTCTGATGGCCAAATTCTTTTTTGATAAATGTTCATTTAATATTTTAACTAATCGCCAGATAAACTTTATTTGAAAGTTTTTATTTCACATTTTTTGCATGTTGTTACCTTAATGCACTTAATATACATGTGATAATTACTTAAGTCTATGATCTGCTTTAGATTTTACTATTTATAAAACATTTGAAACATATTTTGCAGTCTTGGCAGATGCCCATTTTCCAACATCATCAATTTGTAGATTTGGACCAAAGGAAATTCGGGCTGATGGTAAGTGTATAGTAGTATTATGTAACACTATTATTTTATATATTGAACATAATAGTAAAATATTAATAATTTTATAGATTGAACATGCAGTCAGAAATAGATATTTAAGATATCAAAATGCATGAATTTAATATGCATTTTACTATTCTGTGATGCTGTGTTGAAAAAAAAAGATACTTAGTCTTACAGTCAAAAAGAATTTCAGTTTTGGTTTGAATCCAATTTAAGCCAGGCTACATGGAAATATAGATATTTGTGCTTGAAATTATTTTTTGTCCATTACTAAGGATTGCAGTATTTCAAATGAATCGTAACACATTCACTTCGGTAAATCGGCAATCTGTTAATAAGTCTAGTAAATCGACTGTTTATTAAAAATAATTTTAAATATTAAGCTGGTTAAAATTTATTAGTGCGTATTTACAAAATTAAATTGGTCGCACGGCTGTGCCTCACCTGACCAATTCAATTTTGTGAATTTGTACTAATACACTTTAACTTATACATAATAATATACATTATAAATATTATACAAAATCGTTACAATACTATTTGTTTTTTTTGTTAATCAGGTATTCCTATTCCTAAACTGTTAGAGGGTATACTAACGCTGATGCCTCTAGACAAGTATGTTTCTCAACCGGTATGTTTGTTTCTTTTATTAGTTTTACACTAGTAACAAATATCCAAAATCTGAACATGTACAATATATAAATTCTGACAATTTAAGGCAAAGTATGGTCAAAATAAACCATAATTAATCAATTGACTAACAGATGAGTTTATTTCTTTTTCAAAATGTTTCGAAATTCAGTTTTAATTTTCATCTGCATTAGATTTATCAGATGGTAGAATTAATCTACAGGGTAAAAATGTAATGCAAGTGTAATTTAGCGTTATGACCTTTCACAAATTTCAACTGAAGGTGATTAGTCTTTGCAGTCAGTAAGCTATAGATAAAGGCCAGCTAGCCTAGTCTCACTAATGTACAAGGCATTGAGATAATGTGTTATTTTGTGCATGGGCAATATCTCCCCTCTAGTGAGATTCTGACCCAGAACAAAAATATCTCTGAATCTAGCTTTGGCATGTTGAAATATTTTTACTTAAAGAACCCCTGCACAGTCTGACCAGATTTTATGCTGCTGGCAGTTCAATGTTTGTATTTTAAATTTGAAACCCCTTTAAAGCTTACCTGAGCTAGCTCAGGGTGAGTTTTAATGATAATTGAAAGTCTGCCATCTGTCGTCAGCCCACATTTGTTTGTTAACATTTTTGCCACAATCATCATCAAACTTTGCTAGGTAATTGCTCGGATGAGTTCAAACATGGGTCATCTCTGATAAAAAAAACTAGGTCACAGGAGCTAAAAATTAAAAAATCTTGTTAACTCTAGTGGCTACTTTTGTTATCGAAATATCCTGGATATTGGTCTGCAAGTTTATTTTGATGATTTCTAGGTCAAGTTTGAATATGGGTCACCTGGGGTCAAAAACTAGGTCACACTGCCAAGATATGGAAAGAACCTTGTTAACACTCTAGTGGTCACATTTTTTACTCAATTGTCGTCAAACTTGGTCAGGATGCTTATCTAAGTAATTGCTCAGATGAGTTTGATGGGTCAGGTGAGCAATCTAGGGCCATGTTGGCCCTCTTGTTACTTTTGATTAATATACTGTTCCACATTCAAATTAGGTCATATATATAATACAAATTCAGCAGGTTTATAAGTTGAAGGAAGTTTTATTGTGATAACAAACATGTTTCAGGTTTGCCTAATGGACAAGGTACCTGAAGATAAAGCTCGAGGTCTACAAACACCTATCTGGACAGAGTATCAAGTTATAATAGACAACAAGGAAGATTCACAGGTTAGATCTTATTACGGGTTAGAAATAATACATGTAAAGACACCTGAGGTCCTGCTTCATAGTAATTTTGCAAAGTCAACATTATAATCTTTACATTGTTTGCTTTCAGAAGTTGTTGTTGAGTTGTACCAGTTAATAGTATTACAGCCTTATACCCAACAAGTATACTGGCATTCCATACGTGTAAAATTCTTATAATCTACAAGTATAGTTTATACGTTTACATTATATTAAACTCGACTTTTGTCTAAGATATACATAAATTAATCAAGGGCTTTATATGAATCTGTTATGGTAAACTTCTTCATATCATTAAAATTTTAGTTACCACTGTTTCATAACAAGCCTATACTGTCAAATAATGAGGCATAATCGAGGCCTGACATGCATATATCTATAAGTCAATGACAGGTTGCCAGAGTGTAAAAATGAAGAAAAGAAAATTCATTTGCTATTACTTTTTTAATACTTGATTTACTTAAATATTTTCAATATTTAATTTACTTATTTTCAATACTTTTCTTACTTACTTTCTTCCTTAGTGACAATTTTGTTTGTATCCAATGGCACAGATCTTTATCACACAATTGTAGGACACAAAGTATTTCCTTACTTGTTTGATTTTTATGCCCCCAGGCATATAGTAATTGAACCGTCCGTCCGTCCGTCTGTCCGTACGAGGTTAACCTAGAACGGCAAGTTGGATTTTTCTCAAGTTCTACCTGTACCAATGGCTTCTAAGTTTACACACTTACTAATCAATACAAAGTACATGATCTGGGCAAGTTTCATAACTCTGGCTTTCATATTTACCAAGTTATTGCCCTTTTCAGCACTTAGAAAATGAATAATGGTTAACCTAAAACGGCAAGTTGGAAATATCTTAAGTTCTATCTATACTAATGGCTTTATAATTTCCACACTTACTTATCAATACAAAGCACATGATATTGCCAAGTCATATAACTGTGTCATCCATATTTTCCAGTTATTTCCCTTTTTTCACTTTGAAAATAGGGCCTTGTCTGGTTAACCTATTTCGGCAAGTTGGATTTATCTTAAATTTCTCCTAATTGCTTAATTTCTTTACTGATATCATTCATATTTAGTAGGTGGATACCTTTGATGGCCCTCTAATTTTTTTTGGAGTAAGCGGTCTCTAGGGTCAAGGTCACTGGTTTAAAAAATAAATATAAACCTTTTTGCTCATACATCCTTTATTTTTATGCCACCGCAGCATCTGCGATGCAGTGGCATATAGCGATTCTCCTGTGTGTGTGTGTGTTTGTTTGTTTGTGTGTTATATAGATTATATAGTGAACTTAAAAAATCTTCTTGTGAAAAACCACTAGTCCAATTTCAACCAAACTTGGCAGGATTGATCCTTGGGTGAAGGGCTTCCAAAATTGTTCAAAGAATTTTATTCCATGCAGAAATCTGGTTGCCATGGCAACCAAAAGGAATTATAAGAATAAATTTAAAAAATCTTCTTGTAAAGATCCATAAGGCCTAGAGCTTAGATATTTTGCATAAGGCATTGTCTGGTAGACCTCTACCAAGATTGTTCAAATTATAGCCCTGGGGTCAAAATAGGCCCCGCCCGGGGGTCATTGATTTTCACTATATGTACATATAGTAAAAACTTAAAATACCTTCTTGTAAAGACCCAAAGGCCTAGAGCTTAGATATTTTGCATAAAGCATTGTCTGGTAGACCCTTACCAAGATTGTTCAAATTATAGCCCTGGGGTTAAAATCGGCCCCGCCCGGGGGTCATTGATTTTCACAATATGTACATATAGTAAAAACTAATACCTTCTTGTAAAGACCCAAAAGGCCTAGAGCTTAGATATTTTTGCATAAGGCATTGTCTGGTAGACCTCTACCCAGATTGTTCAAATTATAGCCTTGGGGACAAAAACAGCCCCGCCCCGGGGGTCATTGGTTTTCCCTATATGTATAAAGTAAAAACTTATAGTAAAAACTTAAAAAAAAATTCTTCTAGCAATTGACAAATGCTAGAGGTTAGATATTTTGCATGAACATTGTGAAGTGAATCTCTAGCAAGATTGTTCAAATTATAGCCCTGGGGTCAAAATTGCCCCCGCCCTGGGGGTCATTGATTTTCAATATATACAAATAGTAAAAAATAAAAAAAATCTTATTGTCCTAAGGTACAAGGCTTAGAGCTTTAATATTTGTTAAATGATATCATCTATAGGTACTCTACCAAAGTTGTTCAAATTTTGCCTCCAGTGTCAAAATTGCCCTGCCCCAGGGGCCATAGGTTTTCCTTATATGTATATAGTAAAAATGGGAAAAAAGCTACAGCTTAGATATTTGACTTAAAATGTTGTTTGGTGGACCTATATCAAGATTGTTTTGAATTAAACCCTTGGGTTAAAATTTTGCCTTGCCCCAAGGGGACAGTGACCTACTTTCTTGTCCTTTGATGTACAGCAATGAAATTTTGACCATGTGCACAGTTTTAGTTGTAAAATTGAACTTTGATATCAGGTGACCTAGATTTTGATGATGTGACCTACTTTCTTGTCCTTTGATGTACAGCTATCATAGCCTATGACACTATGATTGTGCACAGATTAAGATGTAAAGTGAACTTTGATATCAGCTGACCTAGATTTTGACAAAGTGTCTTTCTGTGTTGTCCTTTGATGTAGTCGTGAAATTTAAGCTGTGTGAAATATGACCTTCACCACCGAATTCAATAGACTCGAGTGCATTGGTATATTCCTACTCTGATCTTTTATTGGAATAACAATATATTTAACCACTAATCTGATAATAAGAATTAGATAGGTCAGGGATCTATGCATTATGACAATCTTCAATTGTAAAGAAACAAAAAAAAATCTGTTCCTACACTACTATTTAGTGTTGTATTAATGCGGTGGCATAGCATTTTTCTCAAATGCAATCTTGTTTAGTTGATGTCTTAGTTTAATACAAACGCCTCCTTCTGTGGGTGTAGTATGGGGTCATTTGGGTCAAGGTCAATGTTACCAATGTCAAGGTCACCAATGTTAAAAATAGATTTTTACAGGTTTATTGACCTTATTCTATAGACAGATGTTATTTATAATTGATAGAAACATAAACTTTGATGGAGTTAGTGGTCAGTTGGGTCAAGGTCACCAGTGCTATAAATAGATTTTTACACATTTGCTCATACAGCCTTTATTAAGTCACAGATATATTCTATATTTGGTAGGAAGATAACTTGCATGGTATTCATCCTTTTGATTGGGGTAGGGATCAGTGGGTCAAGGTCACTTGTGCTAAAAATAGATTTTTACACTTTTGCCCATACAGCCTTTATTTATTGACAGATGTATTTCATATTTGGTAGGAAGATAACTTACATGGTATTCTTCTTTTGGATAGAGTTAGGGGTCAGTTTGGTCAAGGTCACCAGTGCTCAAAATAGATTTTTACACTTTTGCCCATACAGCCTTTATTTAATGACAGATGTATTTCATATTTGGTAGGAAGATAACTTGCATGGTATTTATCCTTTGGATGGAGTAAGGAGTTAGTTGGGTCAAGGTCACAAGTGCTAAAAATAGATTTTTACACTTTTGCCCATACAGCCTTTATTTATTGACAGATGTATTTCATATTTGGTAGGAAGATAACTTACATGGTATTCTTCTTTTGGATAGAGTTAGGGGTCAGTTTGGTCAAGGTCACCAGTGCTCAAAATAGATTTTTACACTTTTGCCCATACAGCCTTTATTTAATTACAGATGTATTTCATATTTGGTAGGAAGATAACTTGCGTGAAGTTGAATATTTTTCAACTTCATAAATCAGAGCAATGACTTGGCAACTTATATTTTTCACAATTACAAAATGCCATGACTTTGTCAAGCTATAAAACTTGTGTTTACAATTTTTTGGCGATTTTTCTGTCCATAACTGAGTGAATGGGTAAACATTTTTTGAAGTATTGCTACTGACAAGAATCTGAGCCGGGGGCATTTGTGTTTAACAAACACGTTCTTGTTTTGTTTTTTTTTAATGCGTTTATTTAAGGTCGCCGCCGGAAAGCCCATATGGGCGACTGTACACTCAAGTCGGGCCATCTTAGAGCGTCCCGCCGAGATTTTTTCGTCGATTTTTTCCAGCTTTATTGGTGGAGGAAGACCCCAGGTGCCCCTTCGGGCATTATTTCTAGCACGAGCAGGCACCTGGGTAGAACCACCAACCTTCCGTAAGCCAGCTGGATGGCTTCCTCACATGATAGACTTCGACCCAAGTGAGGATCGAACCTACAGCGGTGAGGGACCTGTGATCTCAAGTCAGCGACCTTAACCACTCGGCCACGGAGGCCCCTATTGTTTGATCCTATTTTCTTCCCTGTTTGATCCTATTTTCTACTTATTTGATCCTATTTCCAAACTTGTTTGGTCTTATTTTTTCCTTGTTTTATCCTTTTTTCTAACTTGTCGGATCCCATTTTCTTACTAGTTTGTTCCGATTTTTTTTATTTGTTTGAACATATTTCCATACTTGTTTGATCCTATTTTCTTACTTGTTTGATCCTATTTTCTTACTTGTTTGATCCTATTTCCATACTTGTTTGATCCTATTTTCATACTAGTTTGATCCTTAGTATTGTCATAATTTTTTTTATCCTAATTTCTTACTTGTTTGATCCTATTTTCTACTAGTTTGATCCTATTGTCCTAATTGTTTGATGTTATTTTCTAACTTGTTTGATCTTATTTTAGATTAATATAGAGAAACTGGAACGATTCAAGTTTTATGAAAGAGCAAAGAGAGCCTTTGCTATAGTACACACTGGGTAGGTTATTAAACTTTATAGTTGTTTCTTTAATGACTGCAGAAAAATCAAGTTTTTACCTTTGGTCTCACCATTTCTTTTCATCCATCAATCTGTTTGATATGTTCGTCTAATCCATTTCTTTAAAGTCATGTTTTAAAAGACTGCTTTGATATATTTTAATAAAGCTTAATAAAAATATAATGATAATATATAATGAAATATATAGGTATATAATTTGATTAGTTTCATAATGATTTCTTTACAAAAAAGAGTTATGTCTGTTGTTTTTTGAGGGTTTTTTTTTCACATGAATATTGTTAAAGGCATGTTGGGGGCAGTTTTTTTTTAAGAAGCTCAACTGAGATCCAAAAGCCTAAAACATAAAATTTGAAATTTCTTACATAGATTAACGGATGCACTTGTTTCAGAAAGAGAAAGAAATATACTCAGAGAACTAAATTGAAAATCATATTTTTGTGCCATTCTTTGCCAAATTTAATAAAAAAGGCATTAAAAGACATATTCATTTTGAATTTAATTATTGCATTAATAGGCAACAAAACGCTTTTAGTATTTTTCTGGTCATTCTTCACAATTAAGATAAATATTCTGAAAATATGATCTGACACAAGTTATTAGTCCAGACCTATATCAAATGTTACCCAAATCTGTAAAGAATATTTCCGGTCCTGTCATGTCAAAAAACCTCTGTGAAACCCCACTTACTCTCTGCAAACAACTTTTATTATACCCCCGCACAACAAAGTTGTAAGGGGGGTATACTGGAATCAGCTTGTCCGGCCGTCCGGCCGTCGGTTTTTTCTTGTCCGCCCAATAACTTAAGATTCCTTTGACCCTTAGTCTTCATATTTGGCATGGAGATTAGTCATGATTAGTAGATGACCCCTATTGATTTTGAGGTCACTAGGTCAAAGGTCAAGGTCACAGGGGCCTTGACTTCAAAAAGCTTGTCCGCCCAATAACTTAAGATTCCTTTGACCCTTAGTCTTCATATTTGGCATGGAGGTTAGTCATGATTAGTAGATGACCCCTATTGATTTTGAGGTCACTAGGTCAAAGGTCAAGGTCACTTGACTTCAAAAAGCTTGTCCAACATAACTTAAGATTCCTTTGACCTACAGTCTTCATATTTGGCATGGAGGTTAGTCATGATAAGTAGATGACCCCCTATTGATTTTGAGGTCACTGGGTCAAAGGTCAAGGTCACAGGGACTTTGACTTCAAAAACTTTGTACTGCCCAATAACTTTAGATTCCTTTGACCCACAGTCTTCATATTTGGCATGGATGTTGATCATGATTAGTAGATGACCCCTTTTGATTTTGAGGTCACTGGATCAAGGTCAACGGTAACAGGGACTTTGACTTCAAAAAAGTTTGCCTACCCATTACCTTAAGATTCCTTTGACCCACAGTCTTATATTTGGTATGGATGTTGATCATGACTAATAAGGTGACCCCTATTGATTTTGAGGTCACTGGTCAAAGGTCAAGGTCACAGGGACCTTGACAAAAAAAAGCTTTTCTTCTCAATTGCTAAAGAATGTCCTGTCCGCAATGTATTGATTTGACATTTTCACATTTGAAGCATGTAGAATACATAACTTAGTAAGGCACTGGCTTAGTAACCTCAGATTTGGCAGGGAGGTTGTCCTTGAGCCCTTAATGGCCACTGTTGATTCTGACAAAGTGGTATGCGGGGGTATTCACGCCATGATAGTGGCAGTTCTAGTTTAAGTGGCGATATTGTCATTTTTAACTTCGAGTTTTAATATACTATTATGATCAAGCTTGCTGATCTCAAACTTAAAATGTTACATTTCTATATTTCAGAGAGCTAGCCCAGTATGGCAATATCATATTAAAGAAAGGAGTTGCCTTGTAACATCAAACTTTTCCTGTACATGTGATATTTTAATAATGACATGCACGTCAGTGATAAATTGGATTTATAAAAAATATATATTCCTTTATTCCTTATTTGTGACATTGGGGATTTATTGTGGTGTCAGTAAAGTTAATTTTAAATCATTATAAGGGCTTGCTTTATGTTAACTAAATGCACTTTATATTTATATGATGAAATGTATATATTATTGTTAAACATGGTTTTTCTTAATATACAAAAATTCAGAGGATAGTATGTAAATTTGTTATATGTTCTATTTATTGTCTTAACTTTTCATGTTAAATATGACAACTTTATCGCACAGGCTCAGTTTGAAGTTTTTCATGAAACATGATTCTTCTAGAATTATTCCATTAGCTATAATACATGTACGTTCATCAGTATCTTGGAGAGATACTTATATGTTTGTGTTTTCAGTTTTCGTGCTTCAAAGCACCGCACCTCCAGATTGTCGATATTATTCATTAATAGTGAAAACATTGTCAAACATACAAATGGAGCGACTTAAGCTTTGGGCGTTAATAATTCACAAAACTTCTGTCATATTTTGCATACTTAATTCAAATTTTTACATGGATTGTAAATGTTTATACATTTCTCAACCAACAAATATATTCATTTTTTTTTTAACATTTCTTTTTTACTTACCAGTAATCCAGCATCATGCTGCCTAAATACATTTTAATTTTTTTTAGCGTGATATTTTGTAAATGTGTTTATACATACATCAGGAAAGGGGAAGCTTCAAGTCTATAGAGTCACATAATTGTATCATAGGATCATAATTCATGAAATAAATTGGGAAAGTATTTTTTGTACATATTTATTTGGAAAATAAAATGACATTAAATATATATGATGATATTGTATACAAATCTGTTATATAAAATCAAAGTTCACAAGTACATCTATATCTTGGCTTAAGTCTGAAATACTTTTTCAAAATGCTGTTCCAAACACTTTTTGATAAACATGCACAAATTGTAATGAAAAAATAGTGAGCAATTTACTGGTATATTACACAAATACAGACAATTTGGCCAACTAAATTCATCAAGATTTATATACAAGGATTAAGCATATGGCCAGCATTTTTACATCTTAACTGCAGACTTTTATCAAAGTTTGCATTTATCAGTCATCTTGCAAATTTAACCTCCGAGTTAAGAGGAGTTGATGAACATAATAGGAAATACACAGATAAATAATTCAGGACCAGATATCTGTACTTGACAAGTGCTTTCAAGTTTATTACACAAAGGCTTCAAATAAGTCCCCCCTCACACACACCATTTTTGGAACAGATCAGGGTTCAGCCAATTATAAAATTCTTGAATTGTGTACATTTTTGAAAAAGTTAGTTACAACAAATACCAAATTGTGAATTACATACATCACATATAGTAAAAGAAATAAACTATTAGTTACATGTGGGCCATTGGCCCCAAAGTACTCAAATGAGGACAGAATGACTTTTCACCTTCTGACCTTAAAATCAATAAGGGCCATCTACTAGTCATGACTAACCATTGACCTCCACACCTAATCTTAGGACTTTAAAGTCACATGTTGTTTAAGAGATTTGAAGGAGAGTATTTAAATTGTATACTAGGGACATAAAGGAAAACACATGACACTTGAGGGACGGGCAAGTTTTCAAGGTATCAAAACAATAATTTGAACAATTATAATTATATATATATACATGAATAAGGTATCCCATGAACCCCCAAGGCAGGGACCATTTTGACCCTAGAGATATAATTTGAGTATTTTTTATTTACCACATAATAAAGGCCTAGGCCTTTCAGAATTTTTTGGGGGGAATTTACACTTTTAATACCCGTTTGGCCCAGTGACTTATTATGCAACCAACTGTAACCGTTTGAACAACTTTGGTAGGGGAATCCCCAAGGATCATTCCTCTGTAATTTGGACACTATCCAATCATGGTTTCACGGGAGATGCTTTTTAAGAAATAACTGATGACAACTTACAAAATCGAATCACAATAGTACACATTATGCTCAGGTGAGCATTTTTTACTTTGGGTTGGGTGGGGTATGTTTGTGCATTGCGATAGCTCATAACAGATGCCCCCATTCAGGTGAGCTAAATATAAAAAATTCAACTTTTGCTCATATGGCAACTAAAGCCCCAGTCACATTAGAGCTTACGACCAGTGAAGACAAGTTCACCATCACCAGTGACCTCTGGTCGCGGACAATCTTTAAAACGTCTTACGACGGTCATCGGTGATCTTTGACAGTCGCAGGCTATCTTATTTAGGTCCCACGACCAATTTCAGTCGTAGAGAGGTTTTTGAGCTTGCACAAAAACCTCCTTGCGATCAAACAGGTCGCTAGTGATCTTATAAGGTCTTAGGCTGTCGCACGATGGTCGTTCAGAAGTGCGACAATCTTACGACAGTCTTTACAAATTGCCACTAGTCACTGATAATCTTGAGTAGTCTTTAGTAATCGTGTGATGGTCGTACAACTAGTTGTAGGTGATCGTATGACAGGTCACGGGTAGTCGTAAGTAATCCCACACAATCTTGAGACCATCGTACGTTTGCTTATGACCTGTCGTGCGCTTGTCAATGATGACTGGTCTCACGATAGTCGCAGAAGTAAATTTATACGTGCAAAAATGGTTTTGGTCGCAGACAATCGCTGATGATCGTCAGTTTTACAAGTCGCCGTTGGTCGCAAGTTATGTTAAGCTCTAGTGTGACTGGGGTTTAACAAAGCTTTACTGGTTGAGAAATTCTTAGAGGCTCGCTCCTCTGTGCATAATTTCAGACAGAGGCTTTAACCCAGAGTAGAACCACTAACCTTTCCTAATTTAACTGGGAAACTTCCTCACATGAGAGAATTTAATTTTGGTAAATTGAAAAAGATTTTACGTCTGCAATTTTGTTCACTGCCAAAAGGCTTTGTACCTCCATTGTAGAGAGTATTCTAAAACTTTCCACAATAGTTTTGAAACAAAAAATATACTTCAGTCTGAGACCTAGTTACAAACTGTATTAATCTTCAAACAATAACAAAACTTAGAAATGACTGTGTAGTTTTATTTTTTTACAGATTTTTATTTCTTTATACAAACAAAATAATTACAATATCAAAATAAATATCTCAACAAATGTCCAAAATAATACACAAAACCAGACTATAATTGGAGATTTCATTTTAGAACTTTCAAATAAAATTGTGATTATAATTAAATTTCATATTAATTATGAAGTAAACTTATTGTAAAAGAAAATTGTAAGATTAAATAAGAACTATTCAGAATTCACTGAACACATTATTTTCAGAATCAGAGATCTTTATTACCAACCCTAAATCTCCTATCATCTGTCAATTACAAAAATTAAAAATCCACTGATTTTAGAGTTAACATTAATTAAGAAAGCTTACAGCTCATGTTGGCCAATCTTGGTCTGCTTCCTGGAACTATGAGGCACAGCTGTCGTATAAAGAAACATGGTCAGCTGACTTATTTAAAATTTCATCTTTATATCCCCAAAGTTGATAATAAACAGTTCCAGAAATGGAAACTGGAAAAATTTCATTTTGAAAATTCAGCAGGTTAAGGTTTAAATATAATACACCTCATTACCTCATCAATCATACATAAAGTCATAGTTTGACATGAAAAAATGACAAGTCAAACAGAGAATTTGTCATTTCATTTTTTTTAACATTTATTTTTGGACTTTGAACTATCATGTGTTACAAATGTACTCATTGAAACTAAACTCTGAAATTTAAAGACCGCACTCTAGCAAAATCTATCACTGCAACTACACTGTATGCTAATGTATTTCATTTCAAATATTATCTTCATGTTACACAGATTCTGTCCTAAATGTGAACAAAACTGTTAACATAAAAACTGTAAACGGCTTGCTGTCTTAACTGTTAACATGTCTATGTTTGTGCCACTAACAGAGAGACTGAACAATTCCAGTGTATTGTAAGTGTTCAGCTCGGGTGTTCAGTTCAGGTGTTCCGCTCAGGTGTTAAGTAAACTGCCATCCAGTACAGCTCCTGATAGAAGTGTTCTCAGATTAGACGGGGATTGCTCAAGAATACCTGTAATTCAAAAATAAACTTACATGAATATACAATGTTTTTCTTTATAAAAAAATAGCTAGATCTTGGCTTATATACAACTTTTTTCATTATAATTAATAGCTAGATCTTGATCCTATAACAATTAATAGCTAGATCTTGATCCTATCTCACAAAACATTACTTGGGAAAATATGTGTTTCAACAGATGCTATTGTAAAATTCTGTACTGTTAATTCACACTTGACAAAAGGGTACTGATATAAAGTTTCAGAGAAAACCTGAAAGTGAAAAATGTTCAAAATTTTGGTGGTGGGTTGTACATCCCAACAATACTGTAAAGGTCATATGCCAACTTTCTGTCTTTACATGATTGTGTAAATAATAAATCTTGAAAAAGTGTGATCACCCGGAAGCATTAATCACAACAAAATTACATGAAAATTGCAAACTTGGTTTTTAGTAACATTAAGACTGACCTTGAGTTTAGTGGGCTATAGACAAAGACTGAACATAAAGGTAGTAAGTTCAAGTCAGTCTGACTAAACTTAAGGGCAGAGTCATGAACTTGAAGGTTGCAAGTTCAAGTCACAGGCAGACTGTACATGAGGGTACCAAGTTTAAGTCACAGTCTGAAATTCCATACATACCTGAAATCTTCAATTTCAATGCCATATGACTGATGGTTGGGTCCTCTGACAATATGGGCATACTATCCATGGTGAGGTTCTTATTCACTTCAAATTTCACCCATTTATATCCATTGCACTTTTTAGCCCCAGGGCAACTCTGTATCAAGTTCTGTACCACAGGGTGCGAGAGCCCGAAAAAATCTGGTCCTTTTCCCGTAGTTTCCACTAATTTCATACCCCTGTGGAATGAATTTTAGAAGTCAATACAACATGTTAACTAAAGATAACAAAATGTTTTTTTTTTCACACAAAAATATCTTTGACAAAAATATTTTATGAAACAAAAAAGTTATGATAGCATATTTAATAAGTCTCTACTTTACTTCATTTTCACATATTTTTATACTAATCTTTATTTCATAAAGTTCAAGTGTTATACTCATAAGTAATATGTAAAAATAATACTATTTTCACCTATCAATCTCAAGAATTTTAACAAGTTTTACATTAAATGTTGTTGCGACCTTGACCACTGACATAGTGACTTCAAAATCAGTAGTAGTCATCTACTGGCCTAAATCAATGTCTCAACTAACGTAGGAATTTTCCTTCTCAAGGACAAGAATTTTTCAAATGTCTGTGACCTTTGACCTTATGACCTGATCTACTTGAAAATCGAGATCTACTGTTCACCAGCAATGTCCCTGTCAAGTTACATAGACAATGACTTATTCCTTCTTAAGTTTTAGATCAAACAAGATTTAACATTTAAAAATGTCACTGTGACCTTGACATTTGACCTCAAAATTAACAAGAGCTGTCTGTAGGACAGCACGCTCGACTATTCTAAGTGCTTGATAGTAAAAGAGCCTTGATATTGTTAAATTTTTTAAGTTTACAAAAGGGCTAATTTTTTTTATAAATTCTTGTTATAGGCCTTAGAGAGAGTCTAATTAAACAGTATTGGCTTGACTATTCGGAAGGTAATGTCACAAGGGTGTTTTATTGAGTATAATAATACTAATTACCTATGAATACATAAATTTGACAGAAAAGGTACAAAGGCTTGTTATTAAGATGTTTTATCAAGTAAACCACTGCTTTATTATTATGAATGCATAAAATTGTCCCAAAAAAGGCACAAACCCTTCAGTCGTTATTGAGATAACAGCTTACAAATGAATTTCTAAGTTGAAAAAGGGGAGAAAAATCAGCCTAAATGCAAGATAGAATTATGGATCTTTGTCAGTGACCTACAATTATGACCCTAAATGCATATGTGAAGTTTTAAATAAATATCTTTAATAGTTATGGAGATATGTAAAACTTGCATGTAAACATTAACCAAGAGACTAAGTAGAAAAGGGGATATGAATCAGCCTTAATGCAAGATAGAGTTATGGAACTTGGTCAGTGACATACAATTATGACCCTCCAATTATGACCCTAAGTGCATGTGTAAAGTTTCAAGTAAATATCTTTGAAGACCTTTAACCTTTAACCAAAATTTCTAAGTTTCAAAGGGGCAAATAATTCTGCAAATATTGCAGGCAGAGTTATGCAATTTTGCAAACTGATGTACATTGTTACTATAAAAAAGCATTTTAATTTTCAATTGAATATCTCAAGCAATAATTGAGATATTTGACTTTACAAAAAAACTTTAACCAAAATTTCTAAGTTCCAAAGGGGCAAAATTCTGTCAATATTGTAGGCAGAGTTATCAAACTTGTCAATCTGATGTACCTTGTTACTATAAATAAGTATTGTAAGTTTCAATTGAATATCTCAAGGAATAATTGAGATATTTGACTTTACAAAAAACTTTAACCAAAATTTCTAAGTTAAAAAGGGGCATAATTCTGTCAATATTGTAGGCAGAGTTATCCAACTTGTCAATCTGATGTACCTTGTTACTATAAATAAGTATTGTAAGTTTCAATTGAATATCTCAAGCAATAATTGAGATATTTGACTTTACAAAAAACTTTAACCAAAATTTCTAAGTTAAAAAGGGGCATAATTCTGTCAATATTGTAGGCAGAGTTATCAAACTTGTCTATCTGATGTACCTTGTTACTATAAAAAAGTATTGTAAGTTTCAATTGAATATCTCAAGTAATAATTGAGATATTTGACTTTACAAAAAACTTTAACCAACGCAGACGCCGACGCCGGGGCGACTACAATAGCTCTCATATTCTTCGAATAGTCGAGCTAATAATGGCCATCTACTGAACATTGGAATTCACCCTACCAAAAAGCATAAACCATGGCTTATTCTCAAATTATTAATCAACATGTATCTATATAACTATAATATCATGAAAACTAAAGAAAGGAAGAGCAAACAAAATACAGGTAAAGAAATACAAAATAACTAACCTAGCCTGATTCAATACAGGTAAAGAAATATAAAATAACTAACCTAGCCTGATTCAATACAGGTAAAGAAATATAAAATAACTAACCTAGCCTGATTCAGAGCACGTAATAACTGACTGTGACATTCTGACAGGAATCTACTTTTAAATGTTTTTGTATCATCTTCAGGAACAATCTCAAACTGAAATACATACAAATTCATTAAAACTGACCCAGGGTTTTGTCACTCTTGGAAATAACAACACCTGATATGGTTTTAAAAGCCAACCCAAGTGAATGTGATTTCCTTTCATTATGTCAATATTAGAGCTGACATCGATAGAGACAATATTGATGTATCCTTGATATTTTTCTGTTAATTTTTAATTTATACACATTTCAGAAAATCGATTATTTTGACTAATTTATTGAATGTCAAGAAATCATGAAAGTTCACCCTAAACATATACAGAGGCAGTAATCTTTGTCTAATAATATGCTGTTGTTATATAGTGGAAATATTTCACAGGAATGATGACAAAAAAATATGGTCTGGAAGAAAATCATGCAATGGGCTTTTATAAACAAGACACTGAACAGAACATGTTTTTTACTGAAGACATTTAAACAGATATGACAGTGAATGACACACAAGTGATTATGTGATTATCGATATATCGTTGATATTTGTCATCCAATATTATATATTCTTCATATGCTTTGCACTGAATCAATGACAGCTCTAGTTAATACATAGATTTCTGCTAATAAAGCCCATGACTGATACATTTAGCTTTTTCAGTCACCCTAGGCTTTATCAGACCTCATCAATACATATTGAATTAAAATGAAGAGAATAAAATATTTCAACCTCTTAATACTAGTTTGAAACTAATAGACTTTGAATCAAATAAACATTTAAACATTTAAGTCTCTCTTACATTTAACTAAAAGCATTTGGGACTATGTCTTATCGATATAATCTTTTTATATTACTGCGCACTGTGTGAGCTTGAGAGACATGACATGTTTTGCTTCATTTGAAGTTTAAAGGAAGAAACACATAATGAATTGAAAACATGATAAATAGAATACCAAACAAGTGTCTGATATTATAAAATTTATCAGGCTCGGCATAAAAAAAATGAAGACATCGGTTTCTTTTTTTCTAAACCTTGCTTGATAAATTTTGTAATATCAGTCACTAGCATGGTATTCTGCCTATATACATGTATAATAATCATTTATATACAAGTTTCGTAGATCTCATAGTGAGACATGAAACAACTCTAATAGCATTAATATTATATAATCCCTGATAAAGTTACAGAGCATTCAATCACCCTTCTACAAAGAAAAATGAAATCTGATCAAGTCTGACAATATCATCATATCAAGCCAAAGAACGGCAAAAGTTCTTCCATAGATTACAGGCTTTTTCCTTTACAATGACTTATTGCCAAGACTGGAAAAGTTTATGGTCGAGAAATTGAATAAACTGTTAGTAAAGAGTACGTCTAATACTTACCATAGGTCCATTGCCTCCATCAGATATTTTACAAGTATACAGACACTGTTTTTCAGGATTTGAAATGTTGGCATATACTCTCGTACTACAGTAGCCGACAGGAAATATACTGTTAGACGTGTGGAAACCTGGACGATCTGGTACTATCTGCAAGATAATAAAACTGTATGTTATTTATGCCAATTATCTTTGACAAAATGTTTTTATAAGATCTATATATACAGCTGTAACTGTTACCTACCTAAAAGCCTGAAGGATTGGAAACTTTCTTAAACACTCAAACATTTTTTTACTGCATGTCAATACAGTAAACTTTGCTTATAACAATATTCAGGGGACTGCCAAATTTACAACACTATATCCAGATATGGCTTCACCCTAGAGCCAAACAATTTGAGATCACAGCAAAAGCATCATTATAAGCTAGTGTATCATTATATGCGATATCGTTATAAGTGGTGTTTTGTGTACCATTATTTTTCATTGGATATTTGTGACATTGCCTATCAATATAGATGTTGAAATAAAATATTCTCACCTCCCCTATACTATATAAAGTAAGATCACCCAACACCAGTGGAAACATTGGTCTCCCTGCATTATCTAGTGGTATAGGAGGAACAATATGCTTCCCACCTGCCACTTTACTTTTCTTTGGCTTGCTTTTCACTCCTAGAGCTAAAACATTGACAAAAATACCATTATCTCAGAAACATTCAATTAAAATCAAATATTCAAAATATTTTGAACATAAATAACTATTCTGAAGATAAATTATTGGGGTTTTTTTTGCTTTTTTCTTTTTTTTTAAATAGAGCCTGAATATTAACATGTTCCATATTGTACCAAGTTGAGAATTCCCAAACTAAATATTGAGAATTCCTTGAAACATTACAATGATTTTCCACAACCAGAATGATTCTATGTGTTTACTGCATCTAAATATTCAGCTTATTTTGTTGTTGTTTTTATGTCAACCAACATTTATAGTCCGGTTTGTTTCGTTTTACTTCACACCAACTCAGTATCAGTCATATAGCACCAAAGCAGGAAATATGATTTTAGCTAACCTTGGAGGTTACAAACTTTAAAGCAACACCAGGGGTCAAAACCATCTCATCTGCTGGAGCTAAGAGATACATATACTCCCAGTAATAATTTGAACCCAGTAAGTTGCCTCTTATGAGTACACAGTGATGTGTGACTGCAATTCTTATGCTGTTTTGTTTGTTTGATTGGGTTTTACGTCATACCGACACAGTATAGTCATATGGTGACGTTCCAGCTTTTACTGGACCCTTCCGTGTATAATTCAAGGCATAAACAGGCACCTGACTATAACCACCAACGTTCCGTAAGCTGGCCGGATAGCTTCCTCACATGAAAGTATCTAAAGTCCTTGTCGGGATTAAAACCCACTGCAGTGAGGGGCAATTGGTTGGATGTCAAGGACCTTAACCACTCAGCCACAGATTCCCTGCAATTCTTATACCTCAATCATTAAAGGCAACCCTTCAGCCACAAGGGGCGATAATATTTATTGATTGAAAGTTATGTATTTCGTTCATACATCAAATGAAGTTTTAATTAATTCAATCTCTAAATTTAAAGAAATTATTTTCTGGCATTTACAGGTCATAACATAATCAGTGTTTGATTTTAATATTTGTTCTTCAGAGATTGGTGAAATATAAAGATACATGTATAAAATATAAAGATGGAATTTACCACAAGTACATGAATGATTATTTATTTAGTAAAGTGTTAACCAGTTTTTATTTGAGATAATATCACATTTTGTGACAGTGTTAAAAAAATGGCCTGTGTTTGGTAGTAAACTGCATGAGAAATCTCAGACAACTAACTTTAGTTAACACATTCACCACCAAAATAACTTGTATGCTGCAACAATTACTTTTGTTGTACTGTTAACCACCTTCTTAAAATGTGTCAGTTCGATAAATTCATTTAAATGAACTTCAGACCTCAAGCAGGTTATTTTCAACAGATATGAGCAGCGAAAGTTTTGACAATTCATTAAAATCTTCTCTTACTAAATAAGTAACTTTAGGTAACATTTTAATAAAACCTTTCTCATCCTAAATAGGTAATTATTCGTGGTATGTTAAAAAATCCTATGGTCTTCTAACTAGTAAAACAATTCTTACATTCTAACATTTCCCTCGTTTGTTTAGCTTTATCCCCACCTTGTGCAGCACTTTTCTTCTTTCCTTTTGATTTACCTGCCCCTGCAAGTAACTCTTCACCAGTGGCACTCTTCAACATGGAGGTAGCACCAAGTTTACCGACAAGAGTTGGTGTTTCAACAGCTGTCTGGTAATGAAGAAACTTTCGCAGAAGAAACCTTGAATTAATTGTTTTCAAAATATAAAATATAAGTACACACATGATGACTACAAACCTTCACAAGGAGCGTAAATCTTTAAAACATGTTTTTCTATCTTCCTTATCTTTTTGGATTTATGTCGCACCAACGCTGTAAAGGTTTATTCGTAGACAAAGACATCTGGTACGCCTCTGTGCATTATTTCAGGCTCGAATGGGCACCCAAGTGGAACCACTGATGTTTGTTTACTAAAGAGGCTAAAGTATGCAAAAATAGCCCTTACTGTGTTAAGTAACGCAGTAGAATTATAGTTTTAAATACTGAAAAATCAGTCATTAATCGCACATAACAAGTCAATTATTCTTGAATCTTTTTTCTTTTTTCTAGAATCTTAGAACATTTTTCTTAAGTTTGATTTTTATTTAAATATTTTGGCATCTCTAATGTCTCAACTCCAAAGGGCTTCTCGTTAAAATCATTGAAACTACAGGTTGATATGATTTATTATAATTCTGAACATTTATAACATCAACTTTCATTAGACAGTCATGATATTTATATAGACAAGCTTTACCATAAAATCCTATTGAAAACATTTTTTTCTATGCTAAAAATTATGTAATTTCATTTAATTTTTTTTTTAAATTACTTTTGATAATTTACCAGGGCCTTTTCCAAAAAAAAAAAAAGTCTACTACGAATTAGGTATGGGGCCTTATATCAGTCCAAAATGCCCTGTTCACAATTCACTTTCAATAAGAAATCTATAAGTCATTTCACCTACAAGTGCTGTTCTAAACTATCTTCAATGATATGATAGGACTGACAACATTGAAGTTAACAATATCATACAATCTCTGCAGAGCAGCTCCCTGTGGGAGAAAAAGAATTATCTACCTGAATAAGTATTCCTCTAGGGAGGTTCCATTGTTCTTTTAGGAATAATTGTCCCTAATATTGAAAAGAGTTTATTGGTCTACAGATTTACACTTTACGCAGGTTAACCCATACCTTCTTTCCTCCCTGGCTCGTGCAACTTTTTCTTCTTGTCTTACTACCTCATCACAAATTGCTGCATTCATCTGCAATAAGAATTGATATCAACCATTACATCCCTAAACATGTAAAATGGATTTGCCGTGCTTTAAATTTGGAAATGTGATAAGGTATTTCTATAGCCAATCGGTCATATTCCCAATTGAAAATAGTATATTTTTTCCAAATCCACAGGAAAAAATTCCAAATTGAAAGTTGCAAAATAACAATATTGAATAACAAATTCTTAAATCTTTGAAAATAAGGGCCTCTTCACTGTTATGGTGCTTAAATGTTTGATGATGCCATCCTAGACAGTGATTGTTTTCATTCATTTAATCACTGGAAAATTTGAGTTATGCATTTTCCCCCCAAGTTTTAACAAAACACCGCTGAAATTTTATGGGTATTGGGTCATGTTCCCGAAATCCTGGAAAGAAAAACTTCTTTATAATCATATATATATATACATGTATATATAACTTGTAGCATCTTATACTTACAAAAACCATATTCTTCACATATTTCTTCAGATATTTCCATTTATGATAGTAAGGATCCCTGGCAGTTCCTCCCGGGTTTTTTCTTCCTCTATTACTACTTGGCTGTTTCTTTCTGTATCCCATAATGCTACTCTCCTTCCTGTTAATACAATTTTGAACTTCAATTTGAAGGCAAATTGATTGAAGAAAGATAGCATTTGCATGCTGAGGAAAAGTGTCGCATGATAAAAATGTTGTCTGCTTAATGGTCAACAACAAAACAATTCTCAAAATTCAGAGATAGGAAGCATTGTCAGCAGCTTAAAATAGTGTCCAACTTTGAGTAATTTAACGTCTGTTTTGGTACAAAACTGTATGAAATTAAGAATACTTTCATGTATGCGCTCAGCAGGTAAATGCTAAAAGATAGACAAGCTAGCAACTGTTTGTTTTTATCATATACCTTCAAAAGGCTTTCCCATCTTTCAGCTAAATACAGGGCAGTGTCATTTTTATAAAAGTTAGCATTTTGGCATACATGTATACTAAATTGTGTATAAATACAATTGTACTTCATTGCATTATTAGGATAAAGACATTTTGGCGTTATTATTAATCCCGTAAATTATGTTGGGACCAGTCAAGTCAGGTCATAAAACTGCAATAGAGTTCAATTAAGACCAGTTTTGGAACCTGAGAGAATTGGTATTATTTATATAATCTCTTCAGTTTGCTAAAAAAAAATATTTCTTTTTCCTTTATTCTTTTTTATTGTATAATAAAAATTAAAAAATGAAAATAAAATAATTGATAATTTAATACTATACTAATACTATATGAAAATTTCATCAAAGTCTCACTTTAAGGCATAATATAAACAGGATATTTTTTTACTTTAACTGTAAATTCAGTACTAGAAATACAGTTAATGGCTCACCCATGTTGTTTTTGAAGTAAACTCACAGCACCATGATGTCCCAAACTACTTGTTGCCTATATGCAAAGAGAAAAATGACAATTTATATGAAATTACTGAAGTCTACAGTAGTTTACTTTAATAATAAACATTTCTTTAAGTTTTCCGTCATTACGAACAAACAGTTCTTATAATCTAAAAGAGTAACTAGTTTAATGTCCTGTGGTCCATATAATTCACAACACAAAATATTTTCATAAAAATACTATATACATTTATGTCAGCATTTCAATATTTAAAATTTACCCAACACAACTTCAAAGTTAAATAATTCCACTTAACATTTCTGCATAAAAGTGTTTTGAATTTCAAGACTTGCCAGGACTTTTTTTCCTTTTGCAGGGGCTGTTATAGGGCTGCTTTCTTTTAAATCATACGGTTTTCCCAAAAGCTGATTTTACATCAAGTTTTTTCTTTCTCTTTTGCAAATACATTGTGTAATTTTTCCCCAAAATTAAGGCCAGGGCTGTGAAAAAAGCCCTGCCTGCTTGAAAGTGATAAACCATTGCCACAAGTAAAGAGCCAGGTCAGTTTGCTCATTTGTGCAGTCTGACCAGACAATATACTGCTGGCTGACCAACATTTAAGTTTCAGTTTGATTACTATATCCCCAAAATTGATATTATTAGAATGAACAGTTCTAAAAATGGAAGCAGGACAAGTCCTTAAGCTAAAGAGATTTTCTAAAATACCTGAATTGGTTTGGATGTTTCACCTCTTGGGGAACCATTCGATTGGATAATCTTCACTGTTTGTCTTATCTGGGATTGGTTAGCAACAGATAAGACGTTTGATTGGCTGGTGCTATCCAATGGCACCTCAGCTGCTGCAGTGTTCAATTCAGCCAATGAAATATTGTTACCAGTTTTTAACAAACTTTGATACACTCTTTGTAAGTAGTCCTTGTTGTACCCTTCTGCTCCTTCAGGTTCCATTGTGAATGTCTGAAAATATTAATGTTAAAACCAAAAAGGTTTTATCTTATACTGCTGAATTTGTGTATAATATGTTAATATGTCTTGGTTTAAATTTCAAACTGTCTTTTTTAAATTAAGGTTGGGGTCATGATGGTGAACAAATGTGCAAAGTTTCAAAGCCATATGTCAATGGTCTTTGAAAATATTTCAGGTATTACAAAAACTTTAAGGTAAATTCTAAGTCGAAAAAGGGGCATAAATCTGTCAAAATGCTTGATAGAGTATAAACCTCCACCTGTCTACAGGTTGAGGTTATGATGGCCAACAAGTGTGAAAAGTTTCAAAGCCATATGTCAATGGACTTTGAAAATATTTGAGGTATTACAAAAACTTTAACGTAAATTCAAAGTCGAAAAAGGGGCATAATTCTGTCAAATTGCTTGATAGACTAGAGTTACCTTCACCTGTCTACAGGTTGGAGTCATGATGGTGAACAAGTCTGCAAAGTTTCAAAGCCATACATGTATGTCAATGGAGTTTGAAAATATCTGAGGTATTACAAATACTTTAACATAAGTTGTTACACAGATGCAGACGCCAACACTCGGGTGACTACAATAGCTCTACTTATGCTTATCGAATATTCAAGCTAAATTTAAGCGGATTTGACCGATGTAAAAAATAGCTTCAAATCCACAGTTTACATCTCAATACTTTGGAGTTCAGCTGTTAAGTTTTATGATGCGACAACAGGAAAATTGTTCTTATTTTAGCAGAATCACTCTTACAAATCACATAGCCTTGTGTTTCAATGCTCTTCTATAAGAATAACAGTTGGGGAAACAATGAATTTTTGATCGTCAGTGATTTTTAGAGAAATATCATTTATAGTACTCCCCATGGGTACCGCGTCCTTGCCCATTCCAGTGCAATCAGAAAATGTGTTTCTTTACTCACTGAACGTGACCAATCGAATGTTTCCACCATTAAAGTGAAAGTGGAAGTTCTGCTTTTTTTAATTTGGATAAAAAATGTTCGAAATATTTTCATTTCAAAAAAATTCCTGTAATTGATAAGAAAATCTAAAGCTGCCCGAGTGTGTTGGAAATACTTTTTTATTTTATCCCATATTTACCGGTTAAACTGAAAACTTTATGTTCTGACAAATGTAGGTCGTCTGCTGAAACTGCAGTGATGTCATATTCTGTTGAAAAAATTCTACTGAAGCCAAAATGGGCCATCAATTTACATACCACGGTACCATAGTGCTCTCAGTTTAAGATACAATAGAACATAACAACTAAATATTTTAAAACCATAAATCACATTGATAATTACTGAGACTGTTTAATTGTTCTCGATTATTCTTTTATTTTGTATTTTTATACATCAAGTACATCTACTTTCGTTTTACGTGTCTGGCAACATATTTTTTTATTCTTTTTAGTAAGGGGAATTCTTATTTATTCAATTAATACGAGGAAGTCAAAGACGGGGCCCGCGAAGCGGGTCCGGGCTTTGGCTTGCCCGGCTACGGCTATAGACTACACGTGTATATTTTAAAGAAAATCAAATAAAAAACAATTAAAAAATATATAGAATTCTATACCTATCAATGAAAATTTCAGTGTCAGTTCTAGTCGGGCGCAGCCATTTACAATGTAACTCAATGGTAAAAGGCCGGGTATTCCGATAACGGAACAAATCTCAACTTTTCGGATAAATAATAAACGTCGAGTGTTCCGAGTGAAAACGGAAGCGGTGCGTGTAATACCGAATGACAATTTTAAAACGGAAAGAATTTGAAAGGAATTTTTAATGACTTCCCCGTTCATAGGCTTTCTGATCGATTTAATGATATATTTTTACTAGTCCAAACTATTTAGACGAAAACCGCGGTTATGAATTTGTTTTACGTGGGTCAAATTTGCTTTAACGTAAAATGTTTAAATTCTACATGTAGGATGATTCTGGGCTCTGATGGAAGGGCCAAGCCCTTTTTAAGTTCTGTAGAAAATGCAGTCTTTCAAAGAGGGACAATACGATGTACTAGCACACGTGTGATACATTATGGTTTTATCTGTCACTTATTTCAATTTCATACACGTTCTGCATAGAAAAAGAAGTCATAACTTACCAAAATCGAGCACAAAGTTCTTTGAACAGTGTTAAAAATTTGTGTCAATGGGCGCTGACATTTTGAGCTTAGCTTTGTGGGTAAGGTTTGTATATCTAAATTCTGTATTGCAACGTTCATAAAAAATACGGAATGTGCAGACGACCATTGGTAACGTAATTTCCCTAGTCTAAAAATGACGGATAACTATATTTTAGGTTTTTAAGAATCATTATATATCTGTGTAACAAATAATTACACGCAAAAATATGTATAAATAAAATATATAACGTATTATTTTGTATAACGGTCTAATATTCCAGAGGTGTACTGTAGATCTATAGATAACAATATTTGTAACTTTCCATCCCTTTCATTTAGAAAAACATTGCAGAAAATACCCACTGAGCCAGTTTTTTCATCACATGCATAGGCCCTAGTTTGAAACAAAAATTAATATGTAGTTCTCTTTAAAAATTGATTCATCATTACTGTAAATGTTTTACCTGCAGCAATAGACAAATGTATTTAAGTTTTCAGAAAATGCATTATTTTACTCAGTTTGATATCTGGTTAATAAGTTTTACTTGCTACAAAATTTAAGTATAGCAAGCGCATGTAATATCTTAACTGGCTAGGTAGTTAGCTATCTCGGTTATCTACGCCTCGAACTTATAGAAGAAAAAACTTAATTGACTATCCCGTATAAATTTACTTCTTTCGCACTTAAACGCTTCTATGATTATCTATCATTAAAAGCTAATTTAAGATTTCTAGGTTACATTATCACTTTAATTCCTTCATATCGGAAAAAGTACTGCATACAAGTTGCATTTCAAAGACGAAAAAATAATCTACTTTATTTCTTACACATAACATTTCTATGTATATGAATATACAGTAATGTTTCTTTTTAAAGACTTTATTACCCAGAGCACATTCTCTCAGTGCCAGAAAGGGCGGATGAACCCTCATTAACTATTCAACTAACACAGATAGAATAGTAAGAATACAATATACTCCAACATATTGGTTGATTATCAGGCTTGTTGATCAATATCAACTTTTTATCATCTTGCTAGGTTTCCACTTCATCTCCTCGATTGTCAATGTGGTCATATCCGGACAGCTTTGTGAGTGACTGTTGAAGTCACCTACAATGATGAATTGTTATGTGTCAAGGGATAGATTTTTGTCCTGTGGACAATCGTTCTTTCTAAGGCTAAGTACCTGGAAATCGGAGTTATCTGTATGCGGTTTAGTATGGCAAGCATTGATGTTATTCTGGACTAATGTCAAGATTCCTCCTTTCTTTCTTCCTACCCTGTCACTTCTGAAGCACTGGTATCCTCTGACCATAAAGGATTTAGCAGGTTGCAGATGTGTTTCCTGAATGCAGCAGACGTTAATGTCTCTCTCATGAAGAAAATACTGCAGTTCAGTCTTCTTATTATAGACCCCTTCTGCATTCCAATGCATTTTTGGTCTTTCGTCCTCCGTGAATTTCTGTAGCCTTTTTGTCTTCTCCTCTTGGTATGTCTGAAGGAGGGACCTCCAGTAGCTTGGGGTGGACTCTGTCCCGGCACTGAATCTCCCTGAAAGGAGTCCAAAGATCCAGCACCACATTGTCTTACACTAGATATATCTCTTAAGTCATGCAGTGTTGGCGACTGTCAGAGTTTTATGACAGGATACTCAGACTGGATCCTGGCTCCAATTAGTGTATGGCACTTCTGATTTATATTTTACTATTTATGTCCATTTTTAATAAAAACTGACCTTGGTGTCTGGGGTGAGCTTCAGCCTTTTAGGCCCGCCCCTGGTGGATCCGTGCCTGACATAGGTATAAATGTTTTTTATGATTCGTCATTTTTTTAAAACAAACAACGAACGAACGAACCAATTTATTTCACATAAACTTAATAGTATCTAGTGACTAGCCACTACATTTTACAAATTAACATATAGGTGTACATAGAACATACACTTGTTACAAATATCAATTATGTATACTAAAAAGATTAGGATATTATAATAAAATAAATTAAATTGATCTCATATTTATGGTGATGGACAATACATGTAACCATGTTTGTTTTATATCATGTCATATATCATCAGAAGTAATAAGAAACATTATTTTCGCGAACATTTATAATAGCATGTTTTGCGTTATAATTATTCAATTTTAAATCAGCATAATATTAATAATACATTATTTCGCTTGCTTTATGTTTTTCATGCCATTTAATATTCTACAAACAATTCGATTGATGTAAAAAGATACCAAATGTTTCTATTTGTTTCATATGCAAAATACAATGCCATATTAAGGTATAGGTTATAATTAAATCACTGAGCACTCGTTGGATTACTATCATATAATATGCATTTTTCGTAATAACATTAACTTTACTTTTTTCTTTAATGAATGTAGCATAATATGAAAATTTTATAATTTTATACATCTTCTATATTATTAATAATTGAAAAAAGCACGGCGTAAATTAATTCAATTAAAACCGTAAAAATAGTTTATGTTAAAAATCATCAACATGCCTAAATATCATTGCAATGTGTGTTTTGATAAATGTGAGGAATTTGGCATCCACAGTGGAGTAAGTTTTTTAGTTATATATCATATTTTTTTTACAAATACATTAAATACATCTCTCGTTGCATATGCAGGTTTGGTGTTGACTTTAACTTTAAAATTAATTTAAAAAACCTTAAAAAGTTTAGAGCATTCGCTCGCTAATGTTGAGATTTCCAAATATGAAAAAAAAAGATAAATAATCTTTGATAAATGTTTAGAATTCTATCTCTATTATATTTTGATTATGCTTAATGCAATGTAACGTATTAATTATATTTGTTTATATTCCTGTATACTATGCTTCTCGAAAATATCCTGGTTACATGTATTTTTCTATCATTTGTAATTTGCTCTAAGTATGTATTTACTTAATTGCGATAAACGTTTGAAAAAAAAAATAATAATAAATAATAATGATAATAAAATAACAATTAAGGTACCGTCAAAGAATCTGGAAACAAAATACTTCACACCTATATAATTATATTGAGAAGCAAATGCCATGTCGGCACCTTTAGATCTTTCCAGTAATTAATCGGCTCTTTTAAAGATTTCTCACACGTGCGTCATGTTTGTTGCAAGATTTTAATTGATAAGAATATATATAGCTAGTAATAATTGGTATCTTGCATAACTGTTTTGATCTTAAAATGGCTGAATATCAGTGTTATTGGTGTTTGGATAGTTGTGATGAATATTGTATCTACTGTGAAGTAAGTACTGATTTTAATTGATTTTTTTTTAAATATGTAAAGCGGCATACCACCAACTATTATATTTTTTCGTTTTAATCAATATTTCTCTCTTATTTTTGGAAAAAATAAATGTCCTGTGAAATAAAAGTGTAAAGATTTCAGAGACAAGCTGGGACAACAATAGTTTTGGTCCAAGATTTTAGAAATATGATATTTCCTCTGTGCGCATTATTAACATAGTAAGTGTTATTTTGTGTGTGCATATTTTGGAGCTATTATTAATGACGTTTGTAATGCATTATTTGTAATTATACTTTGTTTATGTCACTATATTTTACTTTTAAATACAATTTTAATCTGCAGACTTTAGCTTTAGAGTTAGCTCAATTTGTCTCAGGCAGGAATTCGAAGGGCTTCATGTCATATTTCTTTAGTAAAAGATACAAAACATTTGCTAATCCTGTCATAAATCTGAAATCTAGTGTGCAAAAAATCATCCCTGATCAGATCAGGTGTGAACTGATTAGCAATGATTTTTGTACACATGTAAAAGATACAGTGAGTAAATAAATATTTTATTAATGTGCATCTTTATTATAATCTTTACAATTATAATACATATCTACAAGAGAAAATAGCACCCGGCCACATGGGCCTATAAGTCACCAGAAATCATATACATTGTAATAATGTTAATAATCATCATTTATTAACATTATGGTTTATTCAAAATAACTATTTGAGTCAATTTATAATAATTGAGCCGTGTCATGACAAAACCAACAAAATGGGTTTGCGACCAGCATGGATCAAGACAAGCCTACGCATCCGCGCAGTCTGATCAGGATCCATGCTGTTCGCTTTCAGTTTCTCTATTTGTTATAGGGTTTGTAAGCGAACGCATGGATCCTGATCAGACTGCGCGGATGCGCAGGCTGGTCTGGATCCATGCTGGTCCCAAACCCACTATGTTGGTTTTGTCATGACACGGCTCATATTTTACTGATATGAACAGACTTATAATGCGTCTTGATAATAAGGAGTATGGTTCGCTTTTCTTTTCTCGTGATTATCTTGAATATAGTTGTCCCAGAATCTCTAATCTTCTCATCGTTACTCTAAATGATGGATTCTAGCTCTTCATGTAAATTGATTCCTTTAAGTCTTATATATATATATATATATATATATATATATATATATATATATATATATATATATATATATATATATATATATATATATATATATATATATATATATATATATATATATATAAAATGAATCTCATTGTAATTGTAAATGGTTCATATATCTATATTATGTCATCTCGTCGTCTTTCATGTTCGAACAGTATGCACTGGTTCACATTAATTACAGATAAACCCGTTCACAGAATACAAGCGTATATATGAGGTAAAGGGTTAACAAAAAAATGATGAAACTACCCAAAATCATGTTTTTCCATGTTAAAACAAGGCTTAACTTATAAATTAGAAGAAAAATTGTTAATTTGTAGAATTTTTTTTTTCATTAGCAGAATATATTTAGCACATTCTAGGATATTTGATGTTTTAATTTGCAATCGTTTGTTAGGTAAACGCAGTCTTGTGAGAGCAGGAGAGCAGTATGTCCTCAATTATATTTGTTCTAAAGGTGCCGCATAATAATAATTAGTAATTTGATATCATTCAAAGATATAAATTTGTGAATAATTATGTGTTGTTAAGAAACAGAAAATATATCCAAGTAAACTGTGGAGTCTATGAAAAAGTCTATTCAAATACACACTGCATTCTTCCTACAAAAGTGCATTTATTGAATGCAATA